GAAATTTCACAGCGGCAATTGCACTGCAGACCCAAGATTGCACTGCCAGGACGAATAAATGTCAGATAGACTTCAAAACGTGAAAGAAATGTCGCGTTTTATTGTTATGTTATTATATACAAATTGTATTCGTTTATTTTTATATTTTGTAAGAGAGCCTTCCTCAACTCTTGCAATTTGTAGATAGCACGTTTTCTTGCAAAATTATCGGCAATTTTCATGCACTCGTGCAATTATAACCGAATATTTCCCTCATGCACAAAATGACTCATATAAGAGCAATGCGCAGTTATCAGAACATTACAGTGGTAATTGCACTGCATGACAAAGATTCCACTGCGAAAACATCACCTCGCCATAACAACCCCATAACCAAATCCAATGAAGCTTTGCAACTAGTGAGTGACTGGACTAGAGCAAATAGACTTTTTCTGAATGTAGATGAAAACAATGCAATCAGATTCCATAATCGTCAAAAAATATGTGACGATATCATCCTACGAGCCGAAGAGTCCTCAAATCCAATTTCCACGGATTCAGCTAATGTGAAATTTTTGTGGCTCTACATCGATGAATGCTTAGACTGGCACAAAATCTGCGAAATATTGAAAGCTAAAATGTATTCCTACTAGTATCAATTCAGAAACTTGAAAAATATTCTGAACAGAGAACAACTACTAAATCTTTATTTTTGTCAAATTGACAGCCGTCTCCATTATGGTATATGCTTCTGAGGTCTATCTAGCTCATCACAAGATGTTTTTATTTCTCAGAAACGCGTTATCCATTCCTTGGTGGGTGTGTCCAACAGAACTTCGTGTACCTTCCCTTTTTATTTAAGAATCATGTCTGTATGTGTTTAATAACAAAGACAATTTTAATACTAATAGTTCTCGCCATGGAGTTAATACTAGACGTAAAGATGATTTTTACATCATTTTAAGTAAGATGAATGTAACTCGACAGTCGCCTAATATCATGGCACTCAGATTTTTTAACGCTCTACCTGTCGGAATTAAACAATATAGGACATTAACTTCTTCCAATTCTTGACACAACTATTATACAAACAAAATGTTATTATTCGGTGGAAGAGTATTTTTCCCAAAAATTTCAATAATAAGCTACATGCGTGTATTTATGGTATCTCTTAAATCACACTTATGTACGAAGGCGCTGAAGGGCCACCTATACATTTTTTTTTGAATCCCGACTTAAAAGTCGGGAGTCCGAGATTAAAGTCGGGGGTCCGAGATTAAAGTCGGGGGTCCGAGATTAAAGTCGGGGGTCCGTCTTCAAAGTCGGGGGTCCGAGATTAAAGTCGGAGGTTCGACTTTGAAGTCGGGGGTCCAAGATTAAAGTCGGGGGTCCGAGATTAAAGTCGGGGGTCCGACTTTAATCTCGGACTTCATGGATAAGTCCGAAACGGGTGTTCTCAGACCCATTCTATCATATATCATTGAATTCGTCTTTCTCAGCTCTTTCCAAGAATGAAATTAAATACATTCGGAAATTCCGAGAAAATGATCGGTTTGCAAAATACGTCATCACTTTTGTTCAATTCGAATATCCTTAATATCGACAATATAACATATATAATTAGTTAATTCATAATGAAAACTGCGCATTGAAAACTTGATTCTCAACGTTTTCATAAGACTTTGAAATTTGCCTATTTATTGAAGAAGATTATGGAAATAGTCCGGAAGGGGTGATCTGATACCTTCAAATGTAATCATATATCATGGAACTCATCTTTCTGAGCTCTACCCAAGGACGGAATGACATTCAGGGTAGTTCATTTGTGGAAATATATGTTTTGTATTGTAATCTTTTTGCACCCTTTGAACAAACAAATGAGATTCTTAGCTATTAAGTGGAATATAAACAATCACCCTATACGTACGATAATAATCGTACAGGTGTGATCCATTATTTGACATTCAGTATACATCCAAAAAGGAGGATTTTGACTGATCCTTATGTGATGATTATCCAATGGATGTAAAATTATTGTTTGTACATAAATGTACAGGGTGTTTGTCAATTACATGTAGAAAATTCAGGAGCATGTTGCTGACGTCAAAATGATGAGTGACAATGAAAATTATTTATTTGTCCACATATTTAACGAATATAATCTAGCTCCTAACTTCAGTTTCGGACTCCCGACTTTAATCTCGGACCCCCGACTTTAATCTCGGACCCCCGACTTTAAAGTCGGACCCCCGACTTTAATCTCGGACCTCCGATTTCAATCTTGGACCCCCGACTTTAATCTCGGACCCCCGACTTTAATCTCGGACCCACGACTTCAAAGTCGGGATTAAAAAAAAAAGTATAGGTGACCCTTCAGCGCCTTCGTACTTATGTGTTATGTGTCTATTTTGTTTATTATGTACTTTACTTACATGTACCCCTTTGACTATTCCTGTTCAATTTTGTAATTGTCCACTGGAAAATTGAATAAATGAAAAAAAAATATGAAACACACATTTGCAACCGTGTCTATTGACGCCAGTAAACAATATAAATGCATGTCAGATTGACTTCGAAAAGTGAAAAAAAATGTCGAATAGTACATTTCATTCAGTCATTGTTATTATGATATTTTGCAAATATGCAAAAAATGACCAAACAATAATTTCGTATTCATGCGTGTTATCCATCAGATACAAATCGCAGCCTCTTATTTCGGACTGGCTCTTTCGCCAAAATATAAAAATAAAATTGCAATTTTTAGATAACATGCATTTTTGCAAAATCATAGGCAGCAGCTTTTATGCCCTTGAGCAATTATAATAAAAAATATTCAATGTCGGATTTAGTGCAAAAATTTGCTTATTTTTAAGAAAATAACAATTTATGTGGGTCAATTCTTTGCTAATTTGCATTCTCATAAAAGAATTATTTTTATATAATTAAGTTTAATTATAACGGATTAGTATAACGTGAATCCAAATCATTTCCCAGAAAAACGAATTTCCTGAAAAATCGTTATATAGCTGAAATCGCGCGCAGTGAAGAACAGTGATGCCAGATGGTATCGAATCAATGGTAGATTTCATATACTATCGAAAGTATAGTTATCAATGATTGGATTTGATAGTGATAATACTTATAAGAGAACTATACCAATGAATTTCGCTACATAATACATAGTACTACATCTATAGGTAGAAATATAATATTCACTATATACGTACCCACACCGTGTCCCACTTTAACCCCCCCCCCCTATATAGTCGAGCGATTTTTACGAAATTTGAACTGGTATGAAGCAGATTTTCAGAGTCAGGCATCGTTTTGGACAGTGCTGTGCATTTTTATCATATTGAAAAGGGATATAATATTTTTATGAAATCATATAATCAATTTTTTTACAGTACTACTAACCCCATAATATTGTTCCCCATGATGTGATTTTTATATACAGTCCCAAAAACAGAGGCATATTTGAAGGCGGATTTTTTTTCGAATCATATCCTACCTACCGGAGTTATGAACGTGGCAAAATTTGCAGTTTATTTGAATTCACTGTTTCTCCGAGTCAGCAAATGAAAAAAATAAAGCCAATCCTGTTAATTCGGAATGAGGTGATTTTCGGCATTTGAAGGTTAGAAAGCATGGGGATAAACAATAATACGAAATCAGTTTTCCTGCAAGAAAATCCTACTATGATTCCATGAAAAATCGACCCCTTTTCATTTCAATAATAACGCATGGCACTGTTCAAAAAGATGTTATTGAAAAACTCAATCTCAATTCATCACCAATAATATATACTAGAGTCCCTGTATGTATTTGACACTTTCGCTGTAATAAGAGTACGGACACTATGACAAGCAGTGACAGAAGGCATAACCCTAAAAAATTTGAAATGACATGAACAATTTGGCGGGCACTGACAGTTCATGAACGTACATGACATCAAATTATTTGAAAATTCAGGTTATCAAAAATTAAAATGTCTAATTGTGTAGTGAAGAATTGCAAAAATGGAAGCGAGTCCTTTCATTTATTCCATTTCCCCCATTCTAACCAACAAGTACATATACCCTTTGTTAAGTACCTATATCGAGAAATACTTTCAACAAATTGATTTACAAACTATGACCCCTTTTCGCCAGTGAGATGAGACGCCACTTCTTCATGAAAATAAAGACAGAGAAAGATATATGGATATACCCTCAGGATATACCCTTCACCGCGGCAGTAGAGGATAGAAGATCCGAAGTGCATGGAAAAGCATATCCATGTCTTTGTTCAAAAGTCATTTTGAGAATTTGGGGTTATGCCTTCCGTCACTGCTTGTCATAGTGTCCGTACTCTTATTACAACAAAACTGACAAATATATACAGGGACTCTAATATATACCAATGTTAAAAGTTCTCATTCGGTCTGTCAAAAACAGAGATGAAAGATTATCTTCTAGACCTGCTGCTGTAAAGGTTTATTTGCTAGCTTTATACAGATATATGCTCCATAAACGCACTGTATATATGTGAACATTTGAAAAACTATTCATTCGACGTGTAAAAATAAAATTATAATTTCAAAATATTGTGTCATCGTCTCATATCTTATAAAATCTTATTACTTATGCGTCCTAACTGAAAATTTGTTCAAAATCAGGACCATTATGCCTGTGTCCGTATAAAACCGGCCACTTTCTCATATTACGGACTTATATGGAAGTAGGTATACGCACAAACATGAATTGAATGAAAAGAACGAAATGTGTTTTTCTCTGGTCTGACAAACATCAGGCTTCCTGTTTCAGTGAATTCTAAAAACAATTCAATATTTATCACTCAGAAAATGGATGGAATGGATAGTTGGAAAATGCAGCGACTGATTTGGCAACGCCGCCAACAATCGGTTGCCCACACAAAAAACCCAATGATTGCGCGAGTTCATTCAGCAGTTCCGATTTGGCTGCTACCTATGTAAGTTGCAATCTCAAACGCGGAAAATCTCGTGTCACCAAAAAACGAGAATGCCGTCTCAAAGGACGGTCTACGAACCTCACGCGTCGGTGGTCAAAAACTCACACGTGCCCTCATTAGCTCACTATGAGGAGATGCACAAGAAATCCCTGGAGAAGCCCGAGGAGTTCTGGGGGGAGATCGCCAAGCAGTTCTACTGGGAAACCCCCATCGACCACAAGAATTTCTTCAGATACAATTTCGATATCACCAAAGGGCCCATTTTCACGAAATGGATGGATGGTGCCACTACGAATGTGTCCTATAATTTGCTGGACAGGAATGTCAGGAATGGAAATGGGGAGAAAATCGCATTTTACTGGTAAGCAATGACAGCTCTCATCATGTCCTCAAGACAGTGTCACTCTTTTGCTTCATGTCTAAAAATTAAAATTTTCATAATGCAATCAAGATTGAAGAATCTGGCTAATTCGATAGGATCGTAATGTAATGCTTCGCTGATGGTCCTAGAGCTGAGAACAAACCATATATCAATAATATAAAGACATTACCTTCATTCTTTCAAAGGCAATTCCCAAATCTGAAAGTAGGTCGATTATCTTTTTGTTGCCTTGAGCTTGAGGGTGAGAACCAATCGCAATTAAAGTTGAACAACTCACTTAACCAGTTTTCGTTGTCAACACCGCAACACAAAGCTCTAAGTTGAAATTTGAAATATATTGATAAGAGGGTGAAAGTGGGGTGGAATGGATGCTACAAAATCAGACAACTATCTGATCATAGTCAGGAAGCTATTTCACATCTGTTCCAAGAGAAAAATCTTTCAAAAATACCTTTCGAAGCTCTAAACTGGAATTTGACTTAGGGTGAAAGAGAAGTGGAATGGATGCTACAAAATTAGACAACTATCTGATCGTATTGAGGAAGCTATTAAACATCTGTTCCAAAGAAAAAATCTTTCAAAAATATTTTCGAAGTTCTAAGTTGGAATTTGAATTATATTGATAAGATGGTGAGAGCAGATGAGGGATGGAATGAATGCTACAAACAACAACTATCAGATCGTATTCAGGAAGTTATTTTACATATGTTTCAAGAGGAAAAACTTTCAAAAATACTTTACGAAGCTTCAAGTTCGAATTTGAATTATATTGATAAGATGGTGAGAGCAGAGGAATGGAATGAATGCTACAAAATCAAACAACTATCAGATCGTATTCAGGAAGCTGTTTTACATATGTTTCAAGAGGAGAAACTTTCAAAAACATTTTTCAAAGCTCTAAGTTGGAATTCGAAATATATTGATAAAAGGGTGAAAGAGGGATGAAATGGATGCTACAAAATCAGACAACTATCTGATCGTATTCAGAGGTTGCAAGAGAGGTGGAATGGATGCTACGGAATCACACAATTATCTGATCTTGTTGAGTGAAGTTTTTATAGCAGATTAAATCAGAAATAAATATCATTTCTAAGTAGGAGTTGAATTTTTCAAACTGAGAAAGAAATCTACTTGACCCCCATCCATTGACAATTTTTTCATAAAATTCTATTTGTTCTCGAGATATTGGCGTGCGGAGTTTTTAGTGGAAAACCCTGTATATTCTCGATAAAAATTTCCTACAATTTTAGAAAAAAGCGTGTTACCTAAAAATTGCAAGAGTTCATTTTCATATTTTGGCGAAAGAGCCCGAGAGATATTCTCCATATATATTGTAACCGAATTGTAACTCACCAAATCGCGCCATTACTTTCACTTTTTGAAGATTATGACATTTATTCGATCTGTCAGTTTTCGATAATTGCATTGCTCTTAAGGGACATTTCATATATGAGGACAATATTCGGCTATAATTGCACGAGTGCATAAAAATTACCGATAATTTTGCAAGAAAAATTACAAGAGCTTATTTTCATATTTTGGCGAAAGAGCCCGAGTCCGAAGGAGGAGGATTTTTTTACAAAATATGAAAATAAACGAATGCAATTTGTGTAAGAAAACGCGCTTGAATGCTAAATTGTCCGGTCTTTTTTATTTGGTATTTTTGGTTCACTTTCATTTATACTTTTTTTGAAGTCCATCTGACATTTATTTGTATTGTTTACTGACGTCTAGCGACATGGCTTTATAAATGTGTTGTTTCGCTCTGCAGTGCAATTACCGATATATGAGGGAAATATTCGAGGTAATTCTCATGTCAGTGCCTCATTCTCTCACATTGAGCTGATCTTGGATCTGATATGGGTATTTCACCTACCGTGTATTTGAATGGGAATATCGATAGGTCTGGCGTGGCACTATACTGTATTGAATTGGCCTGGTTTTTTTATTTTTTGGAACTTGGAATCAACATTTATTTTTCCAGATTATCTTATGAAAATTCAGAGTTATAAGCAAAAGTAACGTATTTTTTTAAAGAACAGGAAATGAATAAAAGCGTCGTAGCAGCGTAGTTGTTCTCTGTTTAATAAACCGAGAAAGAATTGATATTTTCAAACTTGTTATCTTCATAGACCTCAATCGCAGATTCGTGATTGGGTTTCTCAATTCAGAATTTCTTTCCACGTCCTGTATGATGAATATCAATTTATCATACATCCAAAAATAAGTATCAACTTTCAATTTTGCTCTTCATCTTCATGCCGAATTTACACTTATGTGCGCTTATGTGGGTATTGTTTTTTCGATTCTTTGAGTGATTTTTTCTATTTGAATATTATTGTTCATTATAGACAGATTATCAAGATCATTCATTCCATTTATGGTATTTCGATTTCCATATTGTTTCAGGCAGTAATTAGTTTTCAGAATCTGTCATGTTCGTTTGGACATCTCCGAGAGATTGTCACTCAGTGTAATCCAAGTTTAGCTTGAGGCTTCAAGTACCTACACTGATTTCACGAGATTATTTTGTCGCCAAAATTTAGGTACATGGGAGTTGAGGTATTTTGAATTACCGAGATACCTATTCGAAATCTAAATAGAAATAACACATTAGGGATTACTCACTGCAATGAATGATTGGACAGAAATGAATAAATAGACGCCCCTCTTCACTTTTTTTCGTTGTTACGTCATTCAGTGCAGTTTATTTCCGTCTATTGCCGAATATTTAATATCTATTGCCGTCTATTGCCTGATAATTCCGACTTAATGCCGCCTATTCCTGCATTTCTTCTTCATTGCCGACTATTGCCATTTAGTGCCGATCATTTTCGAATAATGCCGATTCATTTCCGAACATTTTGTACACCTAAAAACTTCACAAACGATAAGATTTTCACAAAATTCTGAAACACACGACATATTTCGCTAACACAGTAGCTTCGTCAGGTGATATACTGGTACAATGAACTAAACTAACCTTGGCTTGCTTAACTTTTATATATCCTACTTTCCCAACCTGTGGACAGGTTCGATAAGCCTTTATTATCGGAAATTAGGCACAATATCTGCATTGAAATATACGGTGTGCCAGATTAACTTGAAAGGATTGATAGCAAATACATATTATTACCTACTGAGAAAACAAATTCAATAGTGGTGAACTATTAGGGTCTAATTGGTCGTTAATCAAAATTTCAGAATTTTCGAGTTTGTTGATTTCTAATGATTCTGAACGATCGAGTTTCATTCCTTTATTCTCTACATGTAGAATTTAGAAATTATCATAAAAACTATGGTTTCCTTCAAATATATGGTTGGCGTATGTTGAATTTGCTTTCTTTTTCAAAAAATGAATCTTATGTTCATGAATGCACTGATCAAACGTACGACCTGTCTGACCGATATATACCTTTTAGGCCAAGATCCATAGTGGAGTTTGTATACCCCTCATTTTCCGAATTCAGAAGTTTTGTCATTATTATTACACGAGGGGTTGACGACAGCCTAAATAGTGTACGAAAAATTCCTTTTCTCTGATTATTTCCTTCATTTCTTTCATTTCCTATTCATTTCCCAAAAATTCTTCTAATTCTGGCATATTGGATTATAGCTAGCCCTCTTGAAATCACAAATTTTGACAGGAGAATCATAATCTCCGACCTTTAAAACCCCAAGACACCAACAATTCGATATTATAAAATGTAATATTTCATTCGACATTGTTGTTAAATGTTAAAATAGCCTTGGGCAAGTTTCCCCAAATAAAGATGATTTTTTATCATTATTATATTGAACAGTTAGTATTTTCGTCATATGTGATATTCAAAGCCCCGCAACCAAGGGATGGGATTTTGGAAGTTTTTTTTATCTATTGATGCACACGAGAGGAAATTTCATTGATGTGTAGAAAAACAATATTTTGTATTCATTGAATTTCTAACCCCTGGGAATTCGTAAAATTTGTGTACCTCTACTTCAAAGCTGAAAACTATCAACCTCCCCAGAAATCGAAACTTGTACGGTGCTAAGTAGAACGGGACCTACACTTTGAAGCGGAAACCGAACTACTTCTAAGGAAGCCGATAAACGGACAGGATTGATATCATGACCACCGCCTTCAACCAAAAAATTCATTCGCCTGCCAGGTTCGAACTGTCGTCATTTCGGACACTGATAAATAGACAGCATACTAGATTAGGCAGCTAACGAGCGATAATGGCGTCTTGCCCACTGAGCTAAGGTTCTCAATTTCTCTTAAATGCCCCGAAATTCCTTATTCATTTCCTCGAAATTCTCCTAAATTCCTCGAAATTCCTCGAAATTCCCCGAGATTCCCTGAAATTCCTCGAAATTCCTCCATTTCCTAGTTATTTCTCACGAAATGTACGAAAAATTCCTCTGTGGTTAACCCCTCGTTATTACATAACCATCGCACGATGAGAGAAGTTTCATATTGTTCCATGATCATGATATCTCAATCATGAACCTTCAAAGAGTGATAATATATCCTATGTACTGACGAAGACAAGCCGGTCAAGGAGCACTGCTGTAATCAGTGCAATTCACGGACATGCTCATGTTTGTGGATATTTTACATAACATGGACATGAAGCCTCGCACCGAGTGATCAATGTAATCTATGGAGTAATCGAGTGTAAATACTGTAAGATGTCGCAATGTATAATCTGCTGATGTTTTTCATCAATACTCACGATAATATCGAGCGTACTTACCTATAGCAAATCGAGGACGACATGGTTACCAAGCAGAGATCGCAGAACTTCAGGACACATTATAACGTTGAGCAGATATCTTTAGGACGTAAAGAGAACAGCCCCATCTGCCTCGAATGCGAAGACGTATATATTAGCATGGATATTAGGTACCATAAAAAGGGGTTATTTAGCAGAGGTTCTCACCTATTTTGGAACTCTCAAGTCAGAAATCGATTGGAAGATCAAGCTTTCCAACAC